CTTAAAAGACAGAAGCCATTAAAACCTGGCCTGCCTATAGAACAAAAACACAGGAAAATATGAAGGTAATTCCTCTTGCTTTGCCTGCAATCAGCAAGGGTATTTGTAAAAGAAAGGAATATTTTAAGCAATAATAAATGCCACCCAAAAGGGGTAGAAAAACGTTATTTTTGTCTTTCAGAAAAAGCTAATACCAGGTACAGGACAACCTAATACAGAAACAAATAAAAGTGGGTATGATTATCCATGCCTGTTGCTCCAAAGCCCTGTAGTAAAGACATCTCACTAGGATCCTGTCTGTGGAATAAAATGAATAATGAGACCAAAGTACTGTATAATGGGCTATGTGTATGTGTTAATTCTTGGGAAAAAGTGTTTTAAAAGAATGGAAGTGTTAGCAACCTTCCAATAGACAAATGTAAATGTAATGTAAGTACTGTGTTTACAAAAGGTAAAAAGGCAACATAGTTCCTAAAACAAACAAAAAGGCAATGTGGGAAACCGAACCATTCATATTATACATGCAAATAGCAACATGTTAAGAGTTGCCACTGCAGAAAGACATAACAGCTTACCACTGGTATAACATATTTTCTGAATGGTCTCCCACAACTACTGGCATACTAATGTTACTAACCCTAATTGTTTTTGGTTTTAAATTGTATGTGTTTAATTGGAATGTTTGAAATGTGCTGTTGGATAAAACAAATGTATGCAAAGCTAGAGCCACTGGCCCAAATCACCTCCCAGTATTTTCTATTACGTGGACTAAATAAGAAGTGACACTGGTGATTAATAATCTTAGTGTCAAAAGGGGGATATGTAGGAGCAGGATTTTATAATGTCCCATAAGAATTAATGTATGATTTGATTTCATCCTGTCAGCCACCCTTTTTGAATAGCAGAAAGGAATGTCAGACCAGAACAATCCTTATGACTGATTATGGTCACCCTTTTGTTTTAGAATAAGTTATAATGTCTACTATGATTTCCTATATGTATTACGAAGTAGGCACTCTAGTTAAATATACATTTCTTTGTTTTAAGATTTAGTAAGTAAGAAACAGGATTCTCTATTGAGTCTATGTTAAGTAGATTAGAGGAACATTAAAGGCCTGGGTCTCAATGTAAATTGTCTTGGTTATTGATTGTAAAACTTAGCAAGGTTTAATTTGCAATGCCTTTTTGCTCGATATAAAATACTACTGTTTGTATTCTCAATCTGTGTGAATAAGGAATGTATGCATCAGGAAAAGATAAGGTGTGAAGGCCATTGTTATAGTCAGAGTCAAGGAAGAAGAAGTAAAGAGACTTAAAGGACATCAAGTACTCCTGTTCTTTTTTTAAAGAATCATCAGGTACTGCTTACTACTCAGACAGCTGTTAAACTATCTAGCATTGCAGTGTGGATACATGATTCGCAGTGTAAGAAGACACCCTCCCTGGCGAACCAATCATCACCTCAGAACCGCACAGAGTCAATTTTGACTCCGGAAGAAGACGTAGAGGAACCAGCCTGCAATACCTTACCATCTACGCTCTCGTAAGGATTGCCAGAAGCAGATGACGACCTAAAGCAAGGCCCGAGAAGGAGCAGTAGTGAGCCTAGTGCCTCCTGCCTGGTGGACGTAAAATCGTGACTACGGTTCCCTCAGTTGAGGTTGTCAGAACCAGAAGGGCCTTGCCTCCAACATGCACCTCTGGTGGCGCTTGTTCCTCGGCTGCTGGTGTCTTAAGGTCTGGGGAGTCCACAATGACAATTCTTTTATCCAGCAGCAAGTGTGGATAGCTCACATCCTTAATATTTCTAATTGCTGGGTCTGTAGCCACATCCCAGCCCACTCTCAAACTGGTGTTCCTGTCCTGGCAATCCCACTCAATTCCTCAGACCTCACTGAAGGACCTCGTCCATTTAACAAAACATGGAACAGCAATGACACTTGGGAAGCAGTGGGAATAAATGTATCTAAATGGATAAGTGTGGTGGAGGGAAAAGGTCATTGGTGTTGGGTGTGTAATGGGACAGGGCTGGATCTGGGGAAAAGTCGTTGCCTTCAGCATATTGTGGCCAATGGTGTATGGGATCATTCGAATAAAACTAAAAAGTGGCGGGCTGGGTATGGGGATATGAATTTTTTCTTGACTGGAGGATCAAACAGAAAAATCAATTTCATGTTCCCCCTACAGTAACCTTAGTAAAAACAATACAATCTTTCAACACCATGCAAAAAGGCTCCTAAGGTTACAAGCAGTAGTTGAAATAATGGCAAATGAAACCGGAGAGAGTTTAAAAAAAAAAAAACCTGGCCAAAGAAACAGGGGCGATCCGACAGATGGCCCTCCAAAACCGTCAGGCATTGGACATAGTGCTGACGGCCAAAGGAGGGACCGGTGCTCTCACTGGAAAAGAATGTTGTGTGTTTATACCGGACGACACCAATGAGGTAATAGATCGCGCTAGCCACTTAAAACAAATCGCATATCTTCCCCATAAAGAGCCAAGTTCTTTAAGGAAGTGGCTAAGTAACCTATTCAGTTTCTCTGGCATAGGAAACTGGTTGTTTCAGGGAGCCCTGACTATCCTGTTTGGAATCCTAATGATTTTTGTATGCTTTCAGCTAATCTCCTGTTGTATCCGAAGTGTATAAGGTATGCCATCCAGGTGACTGCCCCAAAACAGAGTGCTAATATGATGATGTTAAATATCACTGATGAACGAAAAGATAAAGAACAATTAATATGTGGAACCCAGTAATTGTTGGTCTTTGCGTAAGCTTGACCAAAAGGAGGGATTGTGAAAGTGAAATGAATTATATTAAAGAAATAGAATGAATTAAAGAATGCTGTTTGTACCTTTAAGTAGAAATGAGAAATGCTGCAAGCCTGAGGGCAGGAAAGCAGACATTAACTGCTTAATGAATTGCCTCACTTAAGGGCAATTGGTGAAGCATTAGCCTTAGATCGATAAGAGTTAA